TGTTCAGAAAGAGAAACAAATGTCATGCTCACTTGTGTGAGGAAGAGGAGAGGGGACATACAGAGCGTGTAGAGTCCCAACATGCTAAGCTGTAAACCTGATGAAAATATAATGGTTGTATGGTCACACAACATGATAGATCTTCTAAAATAAACTCTATTAGGGCTTATCATGATGACTTGGTTCACCCAACATGCTAAAACAATGGCTGCATTCTCACAATTGAACTGCAGATGCTGAGCCATGTACTACTCATCATCTCAGTTTTAGCCTAATGTTGGGCAAGCTGCTGTTCTAATAACAATTTTGAAACATACTCTTCTTGGATCAAGTTGATTTTTCTTTGTATATTGCTGATGGCACAGTTAATTTAATCTTAATGAAGTGTCCTTTGATTACAATGAAATTGTCCCTGCAGATCAGCACAGCATATCCTAAAAATCCGTCCTCTTTCTGAAATGAAGCAGGACTTCGACCCGCAAAGCCACACTGCCCATATAGTGCCCCAAACCACAACTTTTGCAGTGGGCCTGGACACATTGGCTTGGACATATATCATCTTCACTTAAGTTTCTTAAAGGAAATCGGATGTAACTCTTAACATTATGAAATACATCCACAAATATCTGGATTTCATAATCACTCATTTAGTGGTATTCCAAGCATGATCGTCATTGCCAGTCTTGGCTTCCATAATATTTCTCAGCTTCCTTTTCAAGCCATCCAAGTTGGTGGCCATCATTGTCTCCTGTGGTAGTGAATGCCATAGTTAAATGTCATGTTATATGAAAAATGGCTTCCTTTTATCCAAAGAATGACTTCTTGGAGCACAACAACAAAGAATTTAGAAGAGGAAATCCAGGATACAGCTTTCTATGAAGTAAGGTCACTTGGCAAAACAATGAATGGCATTTTTAAGATTAAATTGTTACAGGCTCTAAAGTAGCTCTATAACTGCCAGTGTAGTATTTTTTTCTTGATGTAACTGTGTGGTTTTATAAAAAGAATAAGAAAAAGAATAAGAAAAAAGAACAGGAAGCATGACACTATATAGAAAATGTATGAGAAAATCAAGGTATTGAAAGGCAGTTTTTTGGAGATGGGGGAGGAGTAAGAAAAGAACCTAAAACTATATTTTTAATACAGGGTGAGAATACATTTTCAGTGCAATCCTAGAAGCAAATCACTATTCTCCAGATTTTTGCTACCACATGCTATATGCTTATTTTTTGGCTTATTAAGTGAAATATTTTAGAACATTCTGCGTGAAGTCATCTTAAAGGATCATCATCCTCCCTGCGTCTTTTTACTGGTATAGGGAGTTTGGTGGCAGGGTGAGGTAGGTGGAATAGTGACAATGCCCCATGGAAGGAGGTGGCCCCATCCAACATATGGTTCAGTATTTGAAATGATTTAATGGATCAATATACAGTGGTACCTTGGGTCATGAATGCTTCTGTTCATGACCAATTCGGGTCACGAACAGCTCCGTTCGCAAAATTTTGCCTCCGTTCG